TTTAAGGAGCTCTTGGGTCATGAAAGAAGTGAATCCAAAAATATCTGCAAAAAAGGAAAGCTAGGAAAAAAAAATGGTTTTTGAATATTTAATCCCACACTCAAAAATACAAAGTTCACAGCAGCACACTTCTCAAAAACCTTACTAAAAAAAAAAGCTCAGAGCAAATCAAGAATGAAATTCATGTCCCCTCCCTCCAATTTCAAAGAGAGTTGTTCACAAGGATTTTGTATTACTGAGACAGTAATGTAAACCTACAGATGTAAACATTCTAACAAACTGTAAACATTTTACCTACAGATGCTCGAGTGTTTGATAAATGATTTGTATGCATCCGTCTTAAAATTGGAAGTACGAAGTTCCTTTACCACAGCAGTACCTGGGTCATACAAGAGAATTTTTAACTCAAAAAATATCACAGCACTGAGCCGTCATACAGCTCTAATTTGGTTATGTGTGATTTCTTTCTGCTCAACTCAAAACTCATTTAAAAATGTCATTCTGAAACGGGTGAAAAATGTCCAGCAGCTGCAACAAGAGCTTTGAACAACATCTTGCTTTATTACGATGAAGAATAACAGCAATGCTGGAATCAGTACATTGGGTTACAGAATACTTATTTTGAAGCAATAAACCATATGTGTGTTTAAGTCATTTTTTTTAATATCATTTCATTAGTGACAGATTGCATATTTTCATCATTTAGACAACATTAAAACAGTTGAAATTTTTAATAACCAGTTCTTCCATTATATCCAGTTACTGGCTATAAAAATTTCAATATTTCCTTAAAGCAAGAATCAGGTAATATGCCTTTTAAACACCACATGAAAAAATATGTTGATATAATTTCCCAACATTAACAAACAACTTGAAACACCTGAACCTCTGCCAATATTTTTTACATGTATGGGTAGTATGCCACAAACACACTACCCATAAATAAAAGTAAAAAAAAGTAAAAAAATAAGCCCTGAGACAATACAGGGCAGTACTTTACATTTAACTATAATGTCAAACAATCTAATCAATGAAAATAGCAGAAATAATTAGTAAAACTCTGAATCGATTTCATATTGCAATAAGTAAAGATTTTGCAACATCATAAGACACCAAAAATAATATATCCTAATTGCAATGAAGATGATTAAACATTTGAATAAGTGTGATTAATTCCGAGAAACATATTGGTTAATTATAACTATACTTCAACAAAAGCTGCTTCAGCACCAGAACTCCATGTTAATTTTATTCCCACATAAATAAATGCATGCATATGATGGAATACATACAAAAAGTATAGGTCCCATTAGAGAAACAGAAGAAATATAGAAGCAATACGTGAAAATATACCATGTATAACCAGCCACTGACAATTAAGTATATAAGGATATGCTTGAAAAGTACAGGAAGAAGATAAAAAAATCTCCAATTGATAAACCCCAGTTGGTGCTTACTTCAATTATTGAATAATTTTCGAGCTGGGATTAAGAGAGAAGAAAATTAAAGGCTGAGAAATATTGAAAATATACAGTGTACTTGTTCAGAATTGACCATGAAATTTCCAAATAATTAGCTCAATATGTTAAAGATCATATCTCTAGACTACATGAGACAAATGCCTTTGATTCCATGCAAGAGAAGCACTTCAAAGTTCTATTTTTCATAAATAATTAAGAACTAGAATAAAGAATATATTAGAATACTATATCATACACTAAAAGATATTTTGCCTTTTAATATCACAAAGAATTAAAAAAAGTGTGTGAAATATGCACTTAACGTACATATTAGACACTATAAATCTCATTATAAACATGCTTCAGTTTTCCATAAATTAGGTCATTATTCAAATCATAAGATTTTTATCTAATCAAAAGAGTCACTAATGGAAAAAGTCTGAAATACATTGATGGATATTACTATCTTGGAGATCATACAACCAGGAACATATTAAATTTCTTTTTCTAAAAAAAGATTTTCCTACATCTCTTTACAAATCTTTTTTCTCTTAATATGTTGAAGATTCATAATTATATAACTGTGAATTTGGGAGTTCCCTCATTGTAACTGGTTATTATTTTCTAAACATTAATTAATGAATTGAAGGCTCCTTGGAATATGAGCCCTCTTGTGATTATGACTTACTTGCATGCCTCTTTTAAATCCACCTCTTTTCATACAGTTTTCTACATTGTAGTTCATACTTAAAGATTAATATTCTCTCTTTAATGTAGAAACAGACCTCTGTGAACTTGAAATTAATAAAAACTATTTAACTTGAAATTAATTGTTTAAACTTGAAATTAATTGTCTCTCACAAACAGAGCCAGCTCCAAGCACAAGCAACACAAGCAGCCCTTTAGGTACTGAGTTTTGGATGTAACTAGCTAAGCTGCTACTACAAGCAACAACTAAATAAAGATATATTTTACTCTGAAATATTATGTTCATTTTATACTGGATGCAAAAATCCTGGAGCCAAGGATGCTAAAAAATAAGTACCAATTTTGAATGGAAAATACGGAACTTGCATTAATTCCATTTAATTTTCCAAAAAGAAATGCAAAAGATCTTGATATACTTCACTTACCAACTGTAAACTGAATATAGCAAAATATCTTCCAAAAATTGAAAATTATGCCTTTTATATTTTATTTTGATTACCTTGAGTAATTATTTCTATAATTTCAATACTGTCAATAAAGTCAGATATTTATTTACCATTTAAAAAACTAATAAATATCTTTTAGATATTTTCTAATAAATATTTTTAGTGAAATCTTTAAGAGATTATATTCTTTATATAAACAGCACAGACAACATTTTGAAGTTGCCAACAAATTACACATAATTTTTTACTTTGTGATGAATGTGTAATGATAAACACCTCAATGTAATAAAATTTTATAAAATAATTGTGATAATCCTTATCTTAACATTCTTATGTTTTCCAGATTAGTAAGCTTAAATTATAAAAATACAGGGAAAATATTTTATGCTATTTATAAATGCTTACAAAAAGTATTTTTACTGATATAAAAGTATTTTTTACTTTAAGATTTATATTTATTATCCTAGGAGATTTAGTTGCAATTTTACATATTTGAATATATGACCATATTGTAAGAGATAACTGTCAAAAATATTAAAATCACCTCATTATATCAAAATTTAAGAAAAATTAAAAAAATTAAAATTAAAAAAATTAATAGCATTACTTCCAAAATAAACAGCTAAATTTATTAATATATGATTATATATTTATTAATATATGATATATTAATATATGATCATTTAACTAAATCACAGAACAACCTTTAACAGTGTTCAAAGGAAAATGAAAAATACAATAAAATATACTAATTCAGAAGGTACTAAATTTTAAATTTTCAAACAGCTAATGAAATAATTAATATACATTTTCTATTCTAATTAATAATTTTGAATTATGTACAATCAAACTGAAACAATAAGCTTAGGAGATAGGGAAAGAAAGATCTGATTAATGAAAAATCTGACTTATGAAAAGAATTTATCATTAATTGCAAATTTTACATTTTGAAATTCAGTTGCAATTAATAAAAAATTTTGAGCACTCAGGGCTCTACTATAAATTGTTGACCATACATGAAATTTTGAAATGGAATATAAAATTAAATAGTCAGTGAAAGAAATCAAAGATATTAAAATATTGTTTTCTATTAATTTTATTATACTTTAGTTATTTGCATCCTCCAACATGTAATTTGTATTAATACATCTATTATTAACTCATATACAAGATAATGAATAATTTTATGTCATTCAACAACAGATAAATAACAACTAGCACCAGAAAAATTATAATTTCGAATGCAGCTTATAGATTTTTTTTTTTTTTTTTTCCCGCAAAAATATGAGATTTTTTTCAACTATGAGAAATCTAAACATTCAAGAAACTTCCTTTAACAACCAAATATCCAGTAAATAAAACAAATCAAATGCTACGAAATACGATAAATTTAGTAGCCAGCCGTAATAAAACATTATAACTCTGTAACACGGTTAAAAAAAAATTTTTAACACTGCACCTTAAAGGTCGCTCTCAATTTTGTAAAAATTCAACAATATTAAACAGATTCTGTACATATGCCATACCGAAAAAGCTTCCCACATGATCACTAAACAAAATTAAAGCATGCAATACCTCGCGGTACATCAAACATTTAATATAAATTTGAATTAAGCAGACAAATCCCGCTCCCATAATCTGTCTAAAAGTGGGCGATCAACTGATTAAACAGTTATTTAGTAGTCAGGGTAATAAATAATTAATTTATCTGAACTAAGAAAACAAGTCATTTAATGAAAGAGTGCAGTTTTTAGAATCTTTGAAGGATATGATTGGAATGTTGACTTTCATCCCATAACGCTGGGTCTTTAAATTACGGCATTTAACTAAATCACAGAACAACCTGACGAAATTTAAATATATAGAGAAGCATAGAATTAAAGAATATAAATCTACGAAATATTACACTCTCTCGTGTTCATTACTAAAGTAAAATTACACATTATTATCAGAAAGAAAATTATTTACTTACAATTTACAATCTAGCCATATAACGTATGCGCCTCTAAAGTATGTATATTTGCATACATGCATGTTGTTGCCAAATGCTCAGGCATAAAGTAGAACAAAAAGATTTAGATAATAAATTACTTTTTTCTTTTTAGCCTTTACAAAATTTACGGAAAGCATAGTCAGTTAGAATATGTATTTCTTTCAATTTTAATGGACAAAGCAACAATCATTATTAAAACGCTCATTCTTTTTATGCTCGTTTGATAAATTTTATATTACATTTTTTGTGATCAAGGTAAAATGTAATATTTTAAATGAGTAAATAAAATAAATTAAAAATAACAGCTAATATGCATTTATAATAAGGAGATAATTTCCTTACCTTAAATTAGCTTGCAATGATAGCTACTACCACTTTCATAAGTACTAGTCTATGGTAATGTTTATTTATAGACGATTAGAAGTATAAATTTGAATATAAAAAATTTTGATTCTGTCTTCTTCGCGATGACACTCGTTAAAGGTCAGGATAAACCCGATCGCTTCCTGTGCATTCCAGATTAATATACTGTAGGTTTTGTTTAGGACCGATAAGTGACACGTCTTGAGTTTCCCACCTGTGGCTACAAAGAATATGTTTATACACCAGAATTTCAAACCTTATTGAACTCTTTTAATTTATGAAAGGAATTTTTAAATAGTGTGTTTTAAAATGTTTAATGAGTTTATATCATTTCGTACGATTTTTCACATTCATCTTATGTTTATTAATGTGAAGTAAATATGTTTAGCCGTTTCACAAATGCATTGTATAATGCTGTGGATGCTTTGGCACCACCTCTTCCTCTTCAGGAAGATTTTGTTTGGCACTGGAAATCGGTCACTAAGTTTTACACGGGAAAAAATGCTTCAAATAAAGTACCAATTGAATTGACATCTATTCCTGGGCATTTAATGGAAATGTTATCCATCTTAGAGCAAGAAGAAAAAGAAGTTGAAATGGGAAACATTGGTCCCTGTATGGAATATATTATGCAGCACAAACTGCTGGATACAATGTGTGTGTTAGGGTCTTCTGATGTGCCACCGGGAATGAAGAGGTACATGTTCATATTTGTTACAAAAATGTTAAAGATTATGCAGCAATCTTTGACACCTCACGTTAGTGTATATATACCTATCCAGAATTTTATAAAACTGTGTGGCGAGGTCTTTGCTGGGCCTACTGAAAGTGAAGAGATGAATTTTTTGCAATGCATCTGTGATAAAATAAAAGAAAATCCTCATCTGGTCAATTGTTTCCTTGCTGATGGTGAGCCTGGATCTCGAAGAAATTCTAAAATAGAATCTACTGTTGATAGTGATTCTAAGATGGAAGCAGCTGCTGTGGCTAAGGAATATGCTTTAATTTCCTCTCTTCTCAAGTTGTATGAAAGCCCAGATAATGACATATCTGTAAAAGCTAGGGAGTGCCTTAAAACACTATGCAGTTGTGCAAATGACAGTGCAGCAATGACTGTGGCAAATTTTAGTTGCCTGAGTACAGTCCTTACCTGGCATATTATTTCTTTGTATCAAAATATCCCCAAAACTCTAAAAATTCATGATCTTGAAACTCCTAATCTTGAAGAAGGGCAAAACAGTACTAAAATTTTGCCAGAAAAAAGAAAATACTTATGTTATTTGCAGGAACTTTCTTTTATTGATTCTGTAATAGAAACAGCACATCCTGTTATAAGTGATAATTTAGCTGTTTGTTTTAGAACAGATTTCCTTCAAGTTTATATATATCCCTGTTTAATGGAAAGTGATAATGATGATGATTTGCTGTTCATAACTACGTTGATAACATGTTCGATGCGAAATATAATTTCTTCTAAACTGATCAATACTTTTGGAATATTTCTGCTAGGTGAAAATAGTGACAGTTATGAATATTCTGAACAGTCAAGTCCTAGTCTCAAAGAAATTTTAATAGATAGATGTCGTGATAGTGAAAGAAATGTAGCATTAGCCTTGTGTAATTTACAACTCTTTGAAGAAATGTTGCTTAGGCCAACTCAGCATATTTTAAATAATCTAGTGTTACAATATTTGGAAGGCCGTAAGTATTATGACCATGCTGCTGTTGATTGTTGGCTGCAATTTTCCGATGAAGATACTTGTAGCAGGTATAGCGATGATTATTCTCCTGGTTCTTCTCCATCTGGAAAGTCACATCTACCAACTTATATACATCGAGTTATTGAGTCTTTCTTAGCATTATTGCCTGATGATATCAAATCATGTGAATCTGAAGAAGATTCAGGATATCAAGCTTATGTCAAGGAAGCTCATGGAAGGTTTCTGAAATGTCTTGTATTGTGTGCAGATTTTCAGTGGCCAGATGATTTTCCTGAAAAAGAAGATCTCCATTTGGGTGCAGAAGATGATTCGAGCTCTGAATCGCAACCTGAGGATGATTCGGCAAGGTGGTCTTTTTATGAAGGTCCTTTTTTGGGCATGATTTTTGATAAACTATTACTGATGTTAGAACAGCCTTATGAAATTAATCTCCAGTTAACATCAATAGTCTCAAGATTAGCTTTGTTTGCACATCCTTTATTACATGAATACCTTTTAAACCCTCTTATATCTTATGCTTCTGATGCAAGGTCACTTTTTCTAGTTTTGCTTCAAGTATCTGAAGACATCCAGAAAGAAGTACCAAACATCCGAGGCTTCAAAACAAAAATTAAACTTACCCGAACTGCTTTGCTCAGTGATGATAATGAGAATGCAACTTTTGAAGAATCTAATGTTCTGGAAGCATTGATCATTCTGGAGGAGTTTTGCAAAGAATTAGCAGCGATTGCATTTGTGAAATATCATGCTGTAAGCTGATGATTTCAGTTGGAAACTATAGGTTTAACATATAAAATTGATTTAGGAGTTTTCTATCAAATTTACTGGTAAATTATTTATGCACAATAAACAACATGTTAAAATTACATGAGTTTTAATTCTAAGTGAATACTATCCTCTTATGTGTGCATGCACTTGAAAGAGTGATAAGTATTGTTCTCCTTTATTTTTATTATTACTATTCCAATTTTTACTGTGTAATGGTTGAATTTACTGGTATGATGAACCATTAAGCATTTTTATTGGATTTGCTTTTAGTCTTGTTCAAATTTTATGCGAATAGTTCAAAATTATGGTCGGTTGTTTAGTAAGAAATTTGATGGTAGATTTGTGTTTAATACATTGGAAACATCCTTTCTTTTGGTAAAATTAAGAGAATGTCTCAATTAGTATACACATAACTTCTCATAAGTTACACATTTATAAGTAATAGTGATTTAACAGAAAAGTACCTAATATCCATTTTTTTATGTAAAATATATTTAATATCTTAAAAAGGTGTTATTATTTGTAATAAATATTAAGATTCCTACCTGTTATAACTAAAAATAAAAAACTCAAGAACACACTGTCATCATTCAGCAATTCATAAAATCATGCTTATTAGCATAAAGAAGAATTATTTAATGTGTGCAGATTATTAAGTTGTTTTATCTGTAGTTCTTAATGGCATTTTGCAAAAAGTATCATTTAGTGTTATAAGGTATTTTATCCTTCCTATCTGCATGCCTTTGTGGTGTAATTGGGAGCGTATTTGAGAGGTTTAGGGTTCGAGTCCCGCCGAGGACATTGCACATTTTTCACTTCTCCTGCTTCAAAATAACCTAATTATTCTATAGTGAGAAGGTGGTGAATGATAATTCGTCACCACTAGAACTGATTGGAATCCCTAATCCTCAGTCACCCTTTAAAAGGTATTTTCTCCCTCTATTCAACATGCTTCCATGGTATAATTGGAAGCATATTTGACAGGTCCAGGATTCAAGTCCTGGCAAAGGCATTGCACATTTTTCTCATCTCCTGCTTCAAAATAATGTAATGACTCTACAATGCTGTAAAAATAATAAATGAAATTAGTTTCAAGTACCCTATAAAATTTTAAATTGGATTTTTTTCCCCCTCAAAACAGAGATAGAAAGAGATACAAAAACAGAGATAGAAATTTAGCAATTGTTATATAGGGTTAAATCGAGAAAAACATATCAGTGTGAAATTTAACAATAGGCAAAAAAAAAAAAAAAAGAGTTGAAATGAGGGTGATTAGACAAAGGAGAATAACCTTTGTCTAATCACCCTCATTTCAACTTTTTTTTTTTTTTTTTTTTTGCCTATTGTTAAATTTCACACTGATATGTTTTTCTCGATTTAACCCTATATAACAATTGCTAAATTTCTATCTCAGTTTTTGTTTGCCATTATCTGCATCAATCAAATTAAATGGTAATGATGAGATTTTATAGTAATGTACAGATTGCAAAATTTTCTCTGTGCCTTTTTTTTTTTAAAATTATTTTCTTATTTAAATGGCAGTGTACTTTTTTCAAATGTTGCTGTTTATACCAGAAACTGAAAATTGTGTTTTATGCATTTGAGTTTATAATTTGACATCAGTAAATATTTTTATTTAATAACAGAAACAAAATATTTAACCTTTTTTTATTTTTTTAATTCTTTTACTGATAAATTATTCTTTCAATGTGAGATTAGAAACTGAAGTTTTCATATTGCAAGTTCTGTCTTCTTTTAATTTTTATTGTTTCCTTTTCTTGAATTTGAGAATGTACATACTGCAACACTAAGTAAATCATTAACAGATTTATTTTTCATACACAGAAACAATGATATTGATACATATTTTCATACACATAAACAATGATAATTTTTATCTGCTGCCCTTTGCTAAGTGAAAGCCATTCTTTCTTGATGCATGTTCTATAACTTAGAAACCATTTCTTAAAATTTTCAAAAGTCATTTTGGACATCAATAAATTGCTTATACAGCATGACAATATTAATTCAAAATATTTTATGTATATAGAAAATTTGTTTGTAATATATACAGTCAAAAGTCGTTAATCCGGACTCCTCGGGACTTCGGCGATTCCGGATTATCGATTTTTCCGGATTATAGATCATCAGTTTAAATCTGGTAAGATGGCATGCAGAAATTACAAAATTAAAAATATGAAACCGTAATTTATGAAATAAAGAACAATCATGATCTAAAGGGTATCAAAATTTACAAAAAGAAAAAGCTTAATATTTATTTGTTTACTTTATTAAACATTTCCTTCAATGTAAGTTGCTTCGTTTCATGTGATAATACTTTCTCTTTAATTTTATTAAACAGACATAATTTCTTGTTTAGTTACAAAGTTCCGCTGTTCCAGTCCTATAATTGCTGTGTTGAGAATACCGACTAATTTGTCAATCGAAATGTTTTCGTTTTCAATAACCTCTGGGTCACTTTCTTCACTATCGGAAGCGAATTATAATGACGAGGAACTTGATTTAAATCATATCAAAGACGGAGTACATCAAAATGAAATACTACACTTAGTACGGAATTATAAACTAAATAAAATAAAAACATCTGCCCTGAAGATAAGGATAGTGCTGACAGATTAACTTCCAATCCGCCGCGTGAAATTGATAAACAGATTTCGGATTTCAAAACATACTTTCTCTTTGTAGATACAAATTACATATTATTAAATATATATCGAAAATTCTATTTGACATAATCTTTCTAATCTATCATAATCTAATAATGACGTTTCTGCCCTCCCTCTGCCGCAGAGCAGCGTGAAATTGATAACAGATTTCGGATTTCAAACATACTTTCGCTTTGTAGTAAATATATATCGGAAAATTCTATTTGACATAATCGAAAGTTCAAGCTTACTTTTATAAAATTGCTCTAACAGTCTGCAAAAAATAATAAGCCGGATCCAATTCGAAGATTAAGGAACAACGCAATCTGAAACATTAACTGAATTAGATAACTTTAGCTTAGCGTATAACTCCGTTACACATTAAACACGCATGCGCACAAACATATTCGCAGCCGGAAGGGTCTTACGCGCTCTCGTAAACGCCTGTGCGCATGCGTGAAAGCGACGCATGCGCAGAAAGTTTGTAGCTTTGAGGTCCAGATTATAGATCATTCCGGATTACGGGTGTCCGAATTAACGACTTTTGACTGTATTATATATCAAATGAAAATTGCTGAAATGTAAGAAGAAAATTGTTACTTGTTTTTAAATTTCAAACATGAAAAGTCAAGCGTTTTAACATCCCAAATTTTCCCATATTTACTCAGTTAATATAGAGTTGTTCTCCAGCAGTCACTCCCCTTCTCTACAAAGAAAGTTTAAAAGAATTTATTAATCCACAAGGTTTAAGATCTTTCATTTAATTTTCATATTATGAAAAAATATTGCTCATCAGTATAAAAAAGTGGATCATTTGAAAGATCATTTGGTACTTACGTACTATGAAAACTACCTTATCAACATTTGCTGATAAAATTCTTCATTGGTGTTTTTGTTTTATGCTTCTAAATTATTTTAAAAATAAAAGCCCTAATTATAAAGGAACAAAAACTTAAAAACCAAAATCCCCCCCCCCAAAAAAATATATACATATTATATATAAACCATATAATAAATATGAATTAAAAAATTAAAATTAACTTGTTAAAAGAAAACGTTGAAGTTAATGGTGAGGAAAGTGGCAGGAAATAGTTTTCAAAATAGCATCGAAAGGCATTTCCTGTTTTTTCTGCCAAATAAATTCAGCTAAATAGGTATCCAAATGATGGTGGCTTATCCCACGTTGTCGCTTGGTCCTCCATTTTGCAGAAGAATTAATACTAAATATACTGAGGAAATTAATGCTAAAATTTTATATTATCTGTTTTCTCTCAAAATTTGGGCATATTTTATAAATATACAATCTCACTTGGCAATGAGTCGTATACAAGCATAACAAACCTTGTGTAAATATTGTGAATTCTTTACGGTTGCTCTGTATTTTTAAAATACCAGCTATTTTTAATGTGTTTCAGTTTTTTATTTGTTTTGCACTAATAGTACATTTTAGTTTTAATTATAGCCCCCCCCCCCCCCCAACTGGTATAGTGGTTAGCATCGCTGACTGCCATGCCGAAGGGCCCGGGTTCGAATCCCTCTATAACCTATGTTAAAGTTAATCTGTATAACCTACAAGGGTTGCTGGTTGTGGTGAGATATCTAGGTAGTCATCATAGCATGTAAGTAGCGATTATTTTTTATGTATTTCGTAATATATATATATATATATGTTCATATTTTCATAATTTAATTCAAGTGGCAATTATTCTGTAATAATATACTTTTTAACATTTTAAAAATTTCTTGTTGATGCTATTTTGTATTCTAAACAACAATGCAGAAATAAATGCTTGAGCATTCAAAATAGGATCCTCTCCCAGTCTGAGTTTTAATCTTATTGAATTGTAAAAATATAGTTTTATGAGTTTGCAGCAGAAGATATGCAAACTAAGGTGTTCAGTCTAATTCTCTCTTAAATCCAAAAAACAGTGTTATACCCCCCGTCTCCATAAATGTCCTTATGCAGCCTTTATTTTTACAACTGTTAATTTTGAGCATCTATTTCTAATTTTAAAATATTTTTATTTGACACAAATATTAATGTGTTAGTAATTTAAAAAAGAAATTTTGTAAAAAAGTTATGTAATCTAACTTTGGTATTTTTCCATTTTGCCGGTGCAGGCGATAAAGTTGCCAATAATGTTACAACTCATGCCAAACGGAATATCCTCGCTGGTAACCTTTTAGGCCTCATTTACAAACCAAGTAGCAGCCATTTCTTATCAGATTGTTTCTTTCAATACTGAGCACCGCCTGAGACAACCGCTGACCTCACTTTGTTGTAAAAGTCTTACAGTGTTAATAGTCATCCTGGCAGAAGGGAATATTTCCTTCGTGTAAAAATATAAATATTACATGGGCATACTAGGCCTGTGTATAAGCATAGATATGTTAATTACAAACATTGTCTTGTACAAGTTACATGTGATAGT